TGGTCCAGAGCGGAGCCGTGCCCGAGCACCTGTATTGTGTGCTGAGAAAGGCGGGGAGCGGAGACAAATCTTGCTGACTGCCCGATCGCATGCGGTTCCATGTAAATATTGTAATATAGGTTAATTTATCATTTTGAGGATTTTCTTTTCACAGGTCCAGGACTCAGAGTGCGTGGTGGAGGGAAGTCCCGAGAGAGAGAGAGACGGAGAACATTATTAAAGAAGCAAGGACTTGACTTGTGACTTCGCCATGACGCCTACTGAAGTCCTGATAGTTGAATTTGTTGTTATGAACATAATTATGTGTCTGTGTGTTAGTGCTGGCTATTATCTGATTCGGTCCTTAGAGGACGAACTTATTTTGTTGTCTGAATTTGTGTTTAACCGTTTAATTTACGAACCAGCCGAGAGAGCTCATGACGACTCAAACGATGCGCATGTGGTTTAAAATTCCAGCTGTGCCATCGGCAAGGGGGCAGTTTTAGGTTCAAACCTACCATGTAGTGAACATCGCACTAAGATGCCCTACACAAATGCAGTTGTCCATGAAATTCAGAGGTTTGCTAATATTGTGCCGATGAATGCACCTCATTTGACTACCATGGATGTCACTCTCAAGGGCTACTTCATTCCAAAGGTGAGCTTTTATATGGCAGTGGTCATAACCCAATGATTCTTAGTGACTTGGCACATTGGAATTTTCCCGTCACACGGAGCTTTCTTTGCACGCTGGAGTTCTCAGCTGCAGAGAGAAATCCCCGGTGCAAGGAGTTCCCGCCTCACGTATGCAAATTAGTGTCCCACTATTGGTTAATTCTAAATTATTCCTACGTGGCGGCTAGCAATTGGCTCACTAGCAGTACAAAAGTTTAGAGCAGTTTCCGCCCAAGTTGGAAGACTCCACAACCATCTCATGGGGAACTCTCAGCGCGCTGTGGAGCCTAGCAAACTCCACCTGTGTCTTGGAGAAGGACAAAGAGGCCTGATCAGCTTTTAGCCACTCCCCGTCATAGTGAAAATTTGACGTATCCCCCATGTGAAGCGCTCGTGGAGTCGTACATCGACGACTCATCTCAGTTCGGTGCGGTTCAGAAGAGATCTCACTTGTGTTTGTTTGTGTGCAACTGCAACTCAAGCAAGTTTCCTCCCTGCACTGTGACCATCGGCAGTGTAAGTAAAGCTTTCTTTGTAAAACCAATACGCTTCCGTGCCTAACTCTACTCCGTCATGGAAAAACCCCACCTGACGGTCCGGGCTACTGGCCATAGACTCAGACTGACCCTCGTTCCTGACACTTGTAAGCAGGGCAAGCACAACTCCATTTGTGTAGCAATGTTTTTCAAAAGATCTTAAGGGAATTAGATATTTAACCCCAACTTCAAGTCAGTGGGTGCATTAATACATTACATTAATTAGAGGAAATAAACTCCGGTGCAGTTTGTGCTGGAGTTTATTACTCCCGGGCACACCATTTGAACATGTGCCCGGGACCGCAGCATACCTACAGGCTGGTGAACTCCCGTCTCATCAGCACAGAGGCCGAAAAAGATCTTGGGGTGATTACTGATTTCAAGATGAACAT